ATAGGTTCTCACTAATTCACTAAGTCTCCCAAGGCTGGGCACAAACTTGCAATCTTCCTGCCTCAGCCTCCCAGAGAGCTGGGATTACAGGTACTGGCAGAAAGTACTATGGCACCATGCCTCGTGGGAAGTTGTTTCCAAAGCACAGGCAAGAGAGAGAGAGAGAGAGAGAGAGAGAGAGACAGACAGACAGACAGACAGACAGACAGACAGACAGACAGACAGAGAAGAGCAATGGCTCCTGCCTGGAGCCAGCAGTGCTAGGCCAGACTTGGCTGATTTGAGACACATGGAGACTCAGGAAAGAGCCTGGAGCTATAGCCATGACAGCCAGTGGGGTAATGTTGTGGGCAATGTGTGATACTCTGAGAGCTGGGGTTTGGGAGACAAGTCAGGACAGGTGACATGAGGGTCTTCCGCACAGATATGGGGTTCCAAGGCATAAAAATGGGAAGTGACAGAGTTCCAGGACTTCAGGGCTGCACAGATCCTCCCACGGCACCCTAAACACTTCCAGCTCTCAGCCCCACCTCTGAGGAGCCCTCCAGTTTGGGGCAGCCAGCCAGGTATAGCTCCCTGGGGCTGCAGGAGGCTTACCTGCCTTTAGGTAAGGCTGAGTCAAAGCCTCTCTCCCTAGAAGAAAGTCAGCGCCTATGGACTCCCAGCTCCCCCCATATACATCCAATTCCTCCTCCATGTGATTGCCGGGACCATGATAACCAGGAAGTGGAATCTGCCCCTACAACCGCCAGCCCCAGACCCCTGCTTCTTCCACACCTCCCTCCAGCCAGTTCTGATCCCCAGAGCCACAGATGGGTAGAAGGAGGCTGTAGATATGTTTGCCCCCAGAATGTTCAAGTGCCTAAGAGGTGTTTTTTGTTTGTTTGTTTGTTTGTTTGTTTGCGGAACCGGGGATTGAACTCAGATCCTTGCGTTTGCCAGTCAAGCACTTATTTTACTGAGCCATCTTCCCGGCCCAAACTTTTTTTTTTTTTTTTTTTTGCAGAACTGGAGATTGAATTCAGACCCTTATACTTGCTAGGGAAGCGCTTATTCCACTGAGCCATCTCCCCGGCCCCAAGAGGTTTTTTAAAAAACCCAGATTTTCTAAAAAAGTCTAAACATCTGGCCCTCACTTCCCCTTGGCGAAATGGACTCAGGCTGAACCAAGTACCTGCAGCCTGCTGCAGCCCTGTCTTGGCCGCATCAAATGCAGCACAGTTCACTGTGTGCCAAGGACTGGCATTTAGCCTTCAGTTTCTTCCTGAAGTGCGGACCCGAGCCACGCACTGTTCTCAGGAAGAGGACGGGGAACGACTCCAACGTCCCTTGGTGAAGATGCTGGGCTTCTGTGAGTGCGGTCAAACTAGCTTTGGGAAAGCTCTGTGATGTTGATTTGCTCTGGCTTGGGGTCCACCTCAGAAGCCTTGAGGGGTTTTCAGGGACCCCCTCAACCCTCAGGCCGCACAGAGGAGGGCAGCCTTGAAGTTGGATAAGATAAGAGTTCAAATCCTGGCTGGGCTGTTTCCTGGCTGAGCAGCTGCAGCAGTGCCTGCGTTCTTGGCAGGGGACGGTGACCCATAAATCTACATGTGATGTCAATGAGGTTGCACTCACCTCTTCTTCTGCATAGGCCTCAGGCTCTCTGCACCCTCATTTCTCAAAGCCCTTGCCCCATCCAGCAGGAGAGAGAGAGAAGGAAAGAGGCCACGGAAGGATGATGCGGGGAGGACTGGAGGAACACCATGGCCCGGTCTCACCCCTCAGTTATGTCTGGGGCCGGTGGGGAGGAAACTCCCAAGGAATCACTAAGTCAAAGCCACCCAGAAGTCATGCTGGGCCAGGAAGGCCCTTGAATTTAGAGATTCCAAGGTCACAGAGAATCTTGGGTGAAGACGTGAGCTTTGCTGCCAAGGAGATCTGTGCCCAGGCCACTCCAGGTCTGCAAAGACATCAGCCCACTCCTGGCAGAACTGCTTCAATTTATCATGCGGGTGCCAAGGGCCACATTCAGCCACAGTGTGATTGCAGTTTTCCTCTTATTAGACCTTCCACTGCTTTAGCAGCTGGCTCTAAGGACCCCAGAACCACTAGGTCTCAGTTCAGGTTTTGAGGTGACACAGGCGAGGAGGGCCCCCCGTAGATGTCACTAGAAGGTGCCACAAAATCTCTTCCACAGTTCACAGGAGAAAGCTGCACCCTGAATGCCACCTCAGCCTGCAAAACAAATGTGACATTCTCACGCTGTCACCGCTCGTCCGCTTTGTTTAGGGCTCGGACTGCAACAATTGAGCAGTAGAGCCTTTAAAACCACTTTTCACTGCAAAATACACAATGCCTCAGCCGTGTTGTGGCTCAAATGCTTACAGTGGACTAATTTAGGGTCCTCCCCCAGCCCCGGATTGTAGTGGAAATCATGTTCCAAATTCCAGATACCTGGCAGTCAAGCTGGTGTTGAAAGACGCCCATTTGAAAGTTGAGGTGTCCCTTCCTAGGGTGACCAGAAGTGGGCCAGGGCAGCAGTTTATATCCTTTGGTGGTTTCTGTTAAGCCCATTAGCTGAACAGCTGGACAGCAAGTAACTTCCAGGCAAGACGGCTTACGGGAGGACCCACATGTATCCACCTGTGCTTCCTACACTCTGCTGGGTGCTCAGGGTTCTCAGCTCAGTCATGCAGCTCACTGTATTTGGTACAGGGACTCACTACGCAGCTCGGACTTGTAGTGATCCTCTTGTTTTCAGCCTCCTCACACTGGGATCACAGGTATGCGCCACCACACCCAGTCTTAGTGGCTGGCTCAGCATGCCCAGGGGTACAGCATGTGGCACCAGGGATGGGGTTCGAACCCCGGTCCCTGCACTTGCCTAAGCAGGTGCTTAGTCCACCAAGCTCCCTCCCCAGCCCTTCCACTGTCCTGCTCTTGACACCCAGTTCTCTCGCAGATTTGTTTCCAGAATGAGGAATTACATCACTCATTCATGAGACTTCTCCTGCCAGAGGGATGCCAATAAGCCCCGGCACTGCTGGGCACTGCCCACAGCCTCTGTGGGCGGCTGCAGGCTTGGGGTGCAGACCCTGGGCCTCACCATCTGGTCCCTTGGTTTTCTCTTCTATGCAACTGAGCCACTAGCAGCATTTCCCAAGAAGTCTCTGCGGGAGGGGAGTCGGGCCTCTGGCGCATGAGTGGCATCGGTGTTAGCTCCACCCCTGGTGCAGGTCCTGAGGATGCTTGCTGGCTTTCAGGTCTGGGAGAGCAGTGTGGCCCATGAGAGGAGGAAAGCCAAGGAGGCGCTCGAGGCAGAACGGAGGCGAGCGCAGGACCTGGAGAACCGCCTGACGCAGCAGAAGGAGGTACGGGCTGCCAGATCCCTCTGGAAGTGCCCAAGAGTGAGGTGGCCAGCTGGGCAGGTGGCCTGAGCGGGTGACAGAACTTCCCAGCCCCAGCACTCTCATCTGTAAAATGGGAGTGTGCAATCCCAGCCCCTCTGGCTAAAGGTCGGTGCAGGTAAGGTACCAGAGCAAAACATGCGCACGGAGGACCCCATCAGCAGCTCCCACTCTGTGGCTCGGCTACCTGGGGCAGAGGGACCCCCCAGGAGGGCTAGGGTGTAGCCAGGAGGTCCCTCGGCCAGCATCATGGCAACGAGGTATGTGTGGCACGGCCCCCAGCACGGCTTGGGGAAGATCCTCCACCCCAGGTCAGCCCAAAGGTCATGCCACGTGATCACTAAGAAGCCAGCCTCAGAGGGCTGAGAAGCACAATCTGACAGAGATGGTGACCTGGGGACAAAGGGTGCTGCTCCCTGCCACCCCCAGCACCCTTCACACGATGGCTCTGCTGGCCAGCATGTAAGCACGGTTCCTGCCTCCAGCTGGCAGACACTGAGCCAGTGTGGCACCGTGGTTGGGGCTGGGGCTCCATGTCCATGACAGTGCCACCTACCCTGCCTAGTGGTGTGACCTTGGGACATCACTTATTCCCTTATGCCTCAGTACCAGCCTCGAGAGGGCCGGGCCCAGGGCCAACACATACTAGTTTAGCTGGTGGCTCAGTGCCCAAAAACATGATCTGTGCCACCTCAGTGGGTCACTTCCTAAACACCAGCTGGAAATCCTGCCCAACGAATCTCTCTCTCCATGCACACAGCTGATTCAAACCCAGCCCCTGGCTCCCACCCCAGCTGCGCCCAGCTCTGGCCTCTCTCTCCCCAGGCATCTTGTCCCTTGAGCCCGTCTCACTGGTGGCCTGGGCCACCCCTCCCCCACCCCTGGCACTCCATGCAGTGATGTCCCTTCCTCTGTGGACACTCGAGCGTCCTGCCCTTGACTTGCAGATCTCTGAGAACAGCATCGCCTACGAGCGCCAGAAAGTGAAGGAGGATCTAGAAAAGGAGCGGAGGCAGGTGCAAGACCTGGAGAACCGCCTGACCAAGCAGAGGGAGGTATGCTGCCTGGAGACGAAAGGCTTAAAGCCCAGCATGGGCCCTGGAACCAGAAAGTGAGGGCCCCACTCTGGCTGTACCTTGGTGTCCGGCACAAAATGCAGGTGATGTGTGTATGGCCACCAATACACACATAGGACACAGGGAAAGAGCCCACACGTGGTGAGCAGAGCCCTGGGTCTGTGGCTACTCATTTGGTTGTTATGAGCTCAGGGCTTGGACGTGAAGGGGCAGAACTCAACCCAGGACTACTTTGTTCCAGAATCTTTAGTCTTTCAGCTTTGTGTGGGTAAGACAGAGGCTGTCTGGAGAAAAACTGATGTCAGGATGTGGAGACTTGGGCTTCTGATTGCTTCCCTGTCTGTTTCTCATCAGGGTGATTGGCATCACCTTCAAATTTAAGATGCAGTTATTGGGGGCCGGGGAGATGGCTCAGTAAAATAAGCGCTTCCCTGGCAAGCACAAGGGCCTGAGTTCAATCCCCGGTTCCACCAAAAAACAAACAAACAAACAAAAAAACAGTGCAGTTACTGGTGACAACTGGCAAGCTCAGGCTCTATGGGAGTAGAGGTGACACTTGACCAGGACCTCTCTCTCTCTCTCTCTCTCTCTCTCTCTCTCTCATACACACGTGCTGGCACACAGGCACACATGCACACACCCACATGCACACGTGTACACAGATGACTCAATATCTCTAAGTCAAACTAGTTGGCAAACACAAATTAGCAATCATGGATTTTATTTATTTATTTATTTATTTATTTATTGGTGGAACCGGGGATTGAACTCAGGCCTTTGCGCTTGCCAGGCAAGCACTTATTCTACTGAGCTATCTCCCTGGCCCCCATGGATTACATTTAAATGGAGAAAGTAGGATTTGAAAGGATTTTTCCAAGTTAACTGGGTCTGAAAAGGGACTCTAAGTCTCTTGACGCCCATCTTGGGTCCTGTTCTACAAAGGCAGCTCCTACCTGCTGGCACCTCTGGGAACTGGCCTTGCCGGCCTCACCCTAGAGTCCAGGCTGGGGAATCCTCCTGTCTAAGGAGCTGCCTGAGAGCTGCGGGGCACTTAGCACAACGCCAGCCCAGGAGGACAGTTAGCAAGGTCGGGGCCCACGCCGCAGCCCGGCCCTGCTTGTAGCGGGGCGTGACTCACCGGGCGTGTTTGGAAGGCCGCGCTCAGCACAGTGCAGACCAGGGGCCTGGGCTGCCGTTTCGGAGCAGACGGTGGGGAGCTGGCTGAACTGGAGCTCCAGGTAGTGGCTATTCACTGAAACCTTTCTTTCCCCACGATGAACTGTAGTTTCCACAGAATGGATCAGAGAAGGGTAGAAGAAAAGGAGGAATTTAAAAATTTAAAGTATGAATAACCACTAAAACAACAATATGCAATGTGTTAATTATTGAAAATGTGCTAGTAATTGGTTGTGAAACTGTCTTACTGTTATTTGTTTCTCAATAAAATTATTTTTAAAAACAAAAAAAAATTTAAAGTAGATAAACTGAGAAATAAATCAAGTCGAGAATGAGACTAATGTCCAAAACAAGGGGGTGAGTCCTGAGATCAACGAAGTCCCATTTTATTCAAGCAGCTACAGGACGAGCAAGGGAAAATCCAATCAGCTGTGTAATTTACCAGACAGAAATGCTCGTGGCGACATGACGTCATCGTGGGTCCCGGCTCCAGAGGGAGCGTCTGCCGAGGCTCACCATCGAGAAGGCCTTGGCAAGCAGCCTCCTTCACCACACTGTCAGGGAGCAAGCAGGACAGCAGAGGACAGGGCCTTGTGGCGACCTCAGAGCTAGCTGGCAACATCAAACCGGACCGGGAGGAGCAGGACCCCTCCTCCCTAGGAACTCACTGTTCTCCAAGGAAATACGAGGTCAAAGGAACACTTAGGAAAAACCGTGTGACTTCGGCCAGGACAATCGCTTTTTTAAGTTGACTGTAAAATCACGGGCAACAACCGCAAAAATAGACCAATGAGATTGCATCAGAATGAAAGGTTCTGCAAAATAAAGGAAACCATGAATAGAAGAAAGAAACAAACATGCCTTGGGAGAGAAACCTGCGGCAGCCATGCACCCGATAAGCGATTAAGGTCTAAAATACATGAGGATCTCAACTCTATAGGAGGACAACAAATAATCCGATTAGAAAATGGATGGGGGCCCTGAATACACTTTTTTCAAAAGAGATCGAACAAAAGGTCCACGGAAAAATAAAAAATGCTCAGCATCACCAGTCCTTAGGGAAATGCAGCTTCGGAGCGAGCTCCAACCCTATCCTTGTCAGAAAGGCCATCATCACACAGAGAATTCAAGTTGACAAGGACATGGAGAAAAGAGACATTTGCATGCTGTGACTGGGAATGTAAATTAGTACAGCCACTGTGGAAAACTAAAAACATTACTGTTGCCGGGTCACCCAGCAGTCCCTCTTCTGAATATTTACTGAAATGATGTAAAATGAGTTTTTGGAAGAGATGTCTGTGCCAGGGTATTCACTGTGGCATTGTTCACCACGCCCGGGGTACAGAACCAGCCTTAGTGGGCATCCGTAGCTGCAGAGGTAAAGCAGACATGGAAGGTATACAAGGTGGAGTACTATTCAGCCCAAAAAAGGAAAGAAAGCCCGCCACTTGTGCCTCATGGAGGGGATTGGAGAGCACAAGGCTAAGTGAAATAAGCCACACACGGAAAGATGAGGGACTGGATGCTGTCACTTCGGGTTGGCTCTAAGACAGCTGAATTCACAGAAAAGGAGAACTGAATCATGCTTACAGAGGCCGGGGCCTAGTGGGTGGGGAAACATGGGGCAGAGGGCATAAAACCTCAGAGGAATGGGGTGGGGTTGGGCTTTTCTTAGATCTGTGCGCAGTGTGGTAAATATAATAAATTTTAGTGAGTTGTGCATTTCAAAATGACTAAGAAGGGCTGGTGAGATGGCTCAGTGGTCTAAAGCACCTACTTAGAACAAGCTTAGCAAAGCACAGGGACCATGGTTCAATCCCCAGCACCACATGCCAGCCAGCCCCGCCCCCTGGTGGGCTGAGCTGGCCACACACACACACAC